TCCCCCGCCTCCCCCACCGCCTCCCCCACCTGCAGGAGGAGCCCCTCCGCCGCCGCCGCCGCCTCCGGGAAGTGACAGCGCAAGTCCAGCAATTCCCGGACATGGCGCACTTTTGGCGTCCATTCAGGGCGCGGGGGTTCACATGCTACGCAAGCGCAGCGACTCTGCAGCGGGTGCACGTTCGACGCCCCCTCCGCCTACCGCTGCTTCTGAAGAGCCCTCGTCAGGCGGTGGTGGAGGAGACTTGACATCTGCGTTGGCGGCGGCGTTATTAGAACGGAATAAGAAGCTGGGAGACAGTGATGAGGAAGAAGAAGACGAGGATGAGTGGGATTGAGAGGCTGGAGGTCTTGATGGACATTGAAGGTATGGCTAAGTTATTCGTCGCGTGTTTGAAAATGGCGTGGCAACCAAGTGAGTGTGTTGAGATTGTGTAAGTATTGTAGGTAGTCTGTTTCATTTTGGATCGCTCTTTTGTTTCTTTTATATGGAACGGTTCGGAGCTTCCGCTTTTGAGGGTGTCGAAGCTTACGAGGCGTGATTCAGCAGCGGTACATGTCACGTCAAATGCCTGTGTTCTCGCCGCTGTGGATACATATTGTCATGTGCGCGCCTCGGGTGGATATACTTCATGACCTTTAAGGATACGGGGCCACCAGCCGCAAATTGTATAATGATTATATCCCACGAAAATTACTGATCGTCCTCTGCGCATTCTTACTCCCAGGATGCCATAAACACGGTTGCGTCATATGGCTGCAACTTGCAAAGCGATGCTAGTCTAGGATTCATCAAACATTCTCTAACCTCTTGGTTTATTTAAGCCTGAGAGCGTTTGCGATACGCTCAATGAAGGATGTTCTCTCCACCAATTTCACATGTTGGTATTTGCACAAGGAAATTACCCAGGCCAAATGGCTACTTGACGGAGGCAGACAAGAGTGAGATGTCCCGGTATATTTCACGTAAAGTTGGCCGTCAGTTTCGACGACAACAGCAGTAGCGAGTTACATTTGATCACGGTAGCACAGCACAGACAGCACGAGAAGACAAACCAACGAAAACCAATGCAAAGTAAATCCGAGTCAACATTGTTACGCAAGTTTCATGCAGATTCCAGACTCTTGACAAATTCCAACGCAAGCTTGGGGCTATGTAGACGAAGAATTTATGTCCGATACGAGAAAATGTTATATGAGCGACGCACCTGTCAGCGGGTTTTACTGGAATCCTCCTCTCGACGAGCTTTCCGCCTTTCTCGAAGATGAAATGGCTACGCTTAGTCTTTCCGCTTTCCCCGGCACCGAGGGCACTAATGAGCTGCCTCTTCGGATCCGAGAGAAGAGCATACGGCAGGTTTTTCTACATGGCACTCGATGACACAAGGCGAGTGCAACACATGGATATCACGTACCTTGGTTTGCCACTTAGTTTGTGCTGAAGGACTATCCGCGCTGAGGCAATAAACATCGAAGTTGTATGACGTGAAATCCGGATATATATCGCGGAAACCACAGGCTTGGTTGGTGCAGCCAGCTAGTAAAATCAGACAGCGTTTTGCATGAAAGTGTAATCGCAAAAATTCGAGTGCTCACGAGTATCAGCTTTCGGTACAAGAAATAGGATAACCCCCTTTTCCGAGGCTAGAGTATCCACGTCAACATCTTCACCTTTCTCGTTCTTAAGGGTCAACGATGGCAAAGAATCCCCGATTTCAATTGTGGTTAACTCGATTACTGGTAATGCGATTCATGTCCACAAATCTATGTCAGATATAATAACATCATGGATGAGTGGCTTACCAGCATTTCCTTCTGCTGAATCCGACGCCTCCGCTTCCGCTTCCGCCTCCTCGGCCTTGCTCTGCGCAGATTGCGGGAAATTCGAGTAATACCCATGATTTAACATGCTGGTTTAAGTTCTGAATCTTCGCAATCCAATATAATCTACCCACCTTCTTCACAGCGGGAGATTCGTCTGCCGCATCCTCCGTCTCGGCAGCTCTCTTATTTGGCTTTGCGGCAGCTTTCTTCACTGGCTGCTTAGCAGTCTGAGGCTCAGTTTTCGGCTGTGCTGATATTCTTGATGACCTGCGGGTAGGCTCGGACACCTCAGTCGATGATTTTGTCGCACGGGGAGCCATACTGGAAGAAAATGAGAGAGATGTTGAAATGGACGCGAGGCGCGATTATAGATTGCGTTGCTGCTGTCGCACGCGCCGCAGACTCATACTAGTATCGACTTCAAATTTACGTGAACAAAAGTCATGGCATCCCTATGCACGGCCAATGTCATATGTCAACGGCGTATAGATATAATGGCTATGATCTGTTCCTACAATGTATGGGAAGATATCCATATAGTATGCAACCGAGCTTATCGCGACTCACGCCGAATGCTCTCGATCAATTGAAGTGCGAGTATACCATATATGCTACAGTTCGCAAATCATTTAGCTGAGTGCATTGTTTTACTCGAGTGCTATTGATAAGAGATGAGATCAGTTTGCAGACTAGGATAGTCATATCGCCATCATATCCAGCGGCGAGTCATTGTGGAATTGTGCGCTACAGGTTGATCGATGAACGCCTTCGACTTCGCGATGGGGTTCTGCCAGTACCGGTGAGGCTAATGTGAATAGAGGTCATTCGAAAAAGTGTAAAGACAAGTCGGTTGGGTCAGCGGAATATCTGCTGCTGATGCACCGACTTGATTATATTTAGGGAAGGATTATAGCGTCTTTGTGCCAGTCAATCTAAATTGCATACCACCCACCAGTTAGGAAGTAAATTTGCTATATGTAGTTTATCAGGCATCTTCACGCAGCCCAAGGTTTGAGCGCTGTACTAGTAACCGATGCGTAAGTATGAGATGGCATGAAATCGTCCATACAATGACGTACCATCACTTGCCGAAATTGAATACAGATCTAAGGACACTGCGCGCGAGATGCTTGGGTGAACTTTTGAGACTTAAGCTTGGTTGGTAAAGTCCTGGAAGCAAACTGGCAATGACCACCAATCGCTCGTGGCCGGAGCTATTGCCTCTTCCACATAATTTTCATAATCCGAAAGTTCATATCAAACACGAGACCTGAACTTAATGCAATCGAATGGACAGCTCAGGTATCTTCGTTCTTTCCAGCGATCACAGCAACACTAGCAGCGCCATATCCTATGCAAAATTAACAGAGTTATATGCTGGTTCGGTCATGGCCAGAAATCATGCCGGGAGGAAAAGTAAGTAAAGGAGGGGGTGTCTAGGATTGTGAGAGAACGATTATAACTTCACTTCCGCAATGAGCGAGAGAAAGAAAGGCTATGTCCAAGCTCAGAATATACTGGACCGGACGGGAATATTGACATGCAAAGGTAGTCAAGGGTACGAAAATTTAGTTATGGACGAGGAAGCGGCTATATCTCAGTCAATACGCACTATGAGTGCGTCAATTAAGAACATGGCGTCAAACAAAAACACAGCATTTCAATTAAACGAACACGCACCAGGAAGGAAACGAACGGCACCATCTCATCTATTCTGCCTCCTTGGAGAGCGAAGAGGAGTTCGAAAGTCTGCGACTCAAAAATGCCCTGAACTGCACGGTCGGCGACGAGGGGGCTGTAGGGCTCAAAACAGTAGCGGCACTACTCTGATCGTCATTTGGTGACTTGTCGGGATTTGGACTCTGCGTAGGACTTTCAGCCGGTGACATCGTGGAAGATGATGATCGTGAGCGACGAATGTAGGGGCGCGGCATAGGCTTCTTCTCCTGTGGGGACGTGGGAGGCGACACTGGAGCTTCCGGGACGAGGTCCACACCGAATTCATCCATAACTGACCGCGGCGGCGGACGCTCCACCATCGCTTCCAGCAACTGAACAAAACTTCGTTTAAGCGCTGCTGCCCAACCAAAAGCTAGCTTGGACTTGCCTCTCTCCTGAGCTCTTCTCCATCATACTCTCCCTCCATCTCTTCGGGTCCGAGCAAGACGGTGCCTTTACGGAACACCTCGCCCTCCTCCTCGACCCAGCTGCGTGATCTACTACGAGATTAAGGAGATGGTAAAAGTTGTAGCCCGAAGTCCAGAGAAACACTCACAGGTCCGTCGGGGATACTAGGCCGTCGGGCGGGGGAGCAACCAATTGGCGCTCCCCATCCTCATCATCCGATTCGCTAATTAAGAAAGTCGCGCTCGGGCTGAGGACCTTCTCAGGCTCTTCAGGCTCCGGCTCAGCCCTCCCCTTACCTTTATCAATGCGTGGCGTGACGACATCTTCTTCGCTATCTTCTCCAGCTGCACCAAATTGCATTGCATGTCCGTTCCCAGGCGACATCCCAACAGAACTATTCGCCTTGCCGTTTCCTACGCGGAAGCCTAAGCCATTTAGCGTGAGGCTCGGCTTTTGCGGCGTGCAACGCGCGAGGGACGAAGTCAGGTCGTCGTTCAGACTCAGCAGCTCCTGTAGACGCGCAGGCTCCGTGCTCTTTTCAATCATGATCAAGAGCGACTTCTGCACCTCTTTGACTCCAGCAGCCAAGGTTGCGACAGCGCTTTGTATCGGGGCAGCAGGGGCAGAGGAAGACGATGGAGAGCGGGCGAGAAGCTCATCGAGTTGTCCTTTAAGTATACGGGCCTGCACGATCACAGCTGATTCTGTCTGTTGTTCCGCGGAAGGCACGTCAGTCGAAGCTTCAGAAGGAACGGGCGAATTGTCAACAAGGTCATCAACCTTTTTCTCGTCGTCCTGCCGAAGTGATTTGGCCAGTTCGCTCTCTTCGATCATGCCCCACACCCCCTTGCCCTGTCCCCGACCGCTTCCGCCCTCGGAACTGGACGACTGCGAACTCTTCTCCGCTTCTTCGGTGTTTCGAACACAAGAGTTCAAAATATCTCGACATAGTCTGTGATCCAATCATGATCGGATTCAATCCGACAACGACGAAAACGGGTACTGACCGTGCCATTTCCTCGTCTCCGGGAGGAATATTCAAGTCTAAGCATCTCATGATGTGATTCGCCTTTAGCCCAGAATTTAACGCCATGACACCCGCAAGATCCAGATGGTTCAAGGTAAGGTCCAGGTGCAAAAGTGACGTCGATTCCGGGAGAAACTCGGCCAGAGCAATGGCACCGACAGAAGTCATTGATGTCGAGGATAGAAATAGGCGTTTCAAGGCATCATTAAGGGTGAACGCAGTGCGCAAGGATTGAATCTACGTAACCGATTAGACAGTGGCACGTTGCATACCGAGGTTAAACGAACCCCTTCGAGACCAGGTCCACAACATGGATTCTTACTAAGATCTAGTGTCTCCAGGCATGAGTTGTATTTCTCCATGACAAAACTCAGTATCTGTAGTCCACTGATGATAAAACGTACTCACCAGTGCCTCAGCAATCGCGATTAAGCCTTGGACGTCTAGCTTGTTCTCACTGAGATTCAGGACTTTCAGAGTCCTATTCCGCTTGAGTACCTGAGCAATGTAGGTAATCCCCGCCTTCAAAAAACAATTGGTTCACTTTTCTACTAGTTTCAATCGAACAAGACCGCTCACTCGAATATCATTTCCTTTCAAGTCCAGCGTCCTCAGCGCGCCCAGTCTAGGCAGGTTATCCAATGCGCGGACCTTATCTAATAGCGCTGCACTTGGACCACGATCGTACCGCGGTGGCAATCCCGGTGCATGTCCAGGCCCGGACATCCCTGGCGATGGAGGGACAGGATGACGTGCCGTTACACCTCCCTGCGCCGATGAAGTGATAATCGGAACCTGCTGGCCTGTCGGGGACAAAGGATTTGTATTTGCCGCCACTACTGCGGTGGTCACATTGGCTGCCGCACGGCGGGAACGAGGGACGTACGGCGTGTACGTTGTCTGGGGCCCTGTTGCTGGATGACGTGGAGGTGGAGGAAGTGGGCCAGCGCGTGGGGGTGGTGGGGGAGTGATCGTTCCGTCATAGCTCGACGCTGGCGACAAAGGGATGGTAGGCGTCGAGGGTGGTGAAAGTAGAGCTGAACTGAAACTCGGGCCGGATGCAGACGTCGGCGATATCGCAGTAGGACTACTTATACCGTTGCCGTTGGAGGGGTACCGATCAGGATAGTCCCTGATCATAAGCGCAATTGCAACCGCGCCCGTCGCGTTAATGCGATTCAGTCGCAATGAAATATTTCGCAAGGAAGATTTCCGTACGGTGTTCGCTATTTGGTGATAAGCATCCTTGCCATACTGAGTCAATGTATCGACACACCCAGTGCATCCAACGCAGCTGGTCTCAACGAACAATCATCGAGTCGTAGCGATACAAGTCCTGGCATCGGGGCTTCCGACAGTGCGCTTGCGATGTATTCGATGGATTTCTTGTCTAGTGAATTCTGTGACAGATCGAGGAACTGCAGGCTTTTCGCCTAATGACGGTGTCATCACATGGTTCGAATACACGCTCCTTGAACATACCTTTGCGACGTACGCACCGAGAAGCCGGAAAGCCGAAGCCTTTAGCCGTTTGTTAGACGCAACTGAAAGGAAGGACAGGCTATCAGGGATGAGCAGCGAATGCAGAATTGGTTTAAGAATCTGGCCACTGAATAGTCAATACCGAAACCACTAATATTTGCGCATAAACGAACCAAATCATCCAAGTCGCATTCCTTGAAGACAAGTTTGCGAAGACCCCACTCGATGGTGAAAACATCCGACAACACGGACGCTGATCCCACAGTCATTTGAACCCCAGAGAAGTCGGCCGTGCGGGGATTAGTGCCGGTGGCGCGCTGCGGGAGGCTTCATCAGATGCGTGTTACTCAACAAGATAATATAATTGCAACACAAGGGATGGGTGACGTGTCGCACGTTGCGCGAGAGAGATGTTCAATTATTGAAGTGCATTCCACGGGAGAAACATTGAGGATGTATGATAGCATACAAGCATGTCTACCTTGGAGCCTTTGCTAGTGACAACTTTAGGCCCGTACAAACAAGACTCTTCCACCATGCACGAAACACATTATCTAGAACGAGCAGACGAGCGGATCAAAATTTATAATTTCACATACCTTCAATGCATCAGAGATTCCCAGATCTGGACTTTCCTCCCGTCCTTCGCAGCATTCTCTGTAGAACGACTCGACCTTTTCGAGGGACCACCATACGTCCTGCGAGTTCGCGTTTACATCCGAAATTTGAGAATTTCCACGCACGACCCGCCGTCTGCGCTCGGCTTCCCGTTCTTCAATGGATCGTTTCTCTTCTTTGAGAGCTGGAGTCGAAGGAGGGTTCGCAGCGGATATCGGGTAGACGGTGGTCATCTCGGGAAGGATAAAATGCGCTCTCTTGAGCGTCGCAGTCTCATCTTGCACGCCATTGAGCTGCTGTCCGTTCTGGTTCGGTAACAATTTGGATAGTCGAGCGAGCGAGAAGAACGACTGCTGTGGTGGCGGGGGGCGTTTCAGAATGGACTTGCCAGGAGTAGGGATGGTCACTGAGGATGACGACGGCGAAGAGGCAAGCATCCCTGCAGCATTGCGCGCTGGGGGAACAGTAGAAGACAGGACGGACAAGTGGTGATGCGGCGACGGTCTACAGACAGCTCTCAAGCTTATTTTTCCGTTCCAAGGATTATCTGCACGTGATGAGTGCTACTTAATCTTCGAGGTTCCGTGCTAGAGACAATATTGGTCCATAAATTGAGTCTGCACGCACGAGAGCTTCATGGATGAATTTGACCTGTTCTCGTCTGGATCACAAGAAGCGAAGACGACGAGTTCAGCTGAAATACCATATGTTCTGTTTACAGCAGCTCCGTCGCAGCAAGCTGAGATAAGTCCAAATATAGAATGGCGATTGCCGAGATGCTACCATCTTGCGATCAATGTATATGTACACTTACCTCTCTGCCTCTCCGCTCACCACTCCTCCTAGCTCCTCTCCACACACCGTTCAAACACAAACCTCCTCGCTTTCTATCACCATGGCTGATCAATTGGTGCGTCCAAAAACATCTCTAGTATCATCTCTACTGACTTGTGCACGATGTCTTCAGTCGGAAGGTATGATATCAGTCGTCGTGTTTCCGCACGAAGATCTGGAGAGCTCATGAACGCCGCCGGTCTCCAGAGCAGATCTCAGGTAATTCTGCGCCCATGTGATCATCTTCGAGTATCTCATTGCGCTGTGAAGAGTTCAAGGAAGCGTTCTCCCTGTTCGACAAAGGTGCGTCCTCCCACTCGGACTTAATGCGCAGAGAACGGCGCTTACTCGTCTCCATCTCAGATGGGGATGGCACAATCACCACCAAGGAACTCGGTACCGTCATGCGCTCACTCGGACAAAACCCCACCGAGGCAGAGCTACAGGACATGATCAACGAAGTTGATGCGGACGGTAACGGGACGATCGACTTCCCCGAGTTCCTCACCATGATGGCCCGCAAGATGCGCGACACAGACAGTGAGGAGGAAATAAAGGAGGCGTTCAAGGTGTTTGATAAAGACGGCAATGGATACATCAGCGCAGCCGAGCTGCGGCATGTCATGACCAATCTCGGTGGGTCGGATAGTGCTGTGCACGCTGTGGTGAGCTGATGAAAATTTGGCTTGCCTTTAGGTGAAAAGCTGTCTGATACTGAAGTCGATGAGATGATCCGCGAGGCTGATGTTGACGGGGACGGCCAGATTAACTATGATGGTGCGTGTGTTTGTGTTATGTTCGCTCATCTGTTTACTTATGTGTCTCTTTTTCTACACTGTCAAAATCTCACGTAGAATTTGTAAAGGTATGTTGATTGCGAATCAAGTGATTGAATTTGTCTCATGCTCCTTGCTCGTAGATGATGCTCTCGAAATGATGAACTGTATTCCATACCATTCTTCTTTGCTTTTTGCTCCTCCTATCGACGGTACGATAGCGCAAGCACCAATCCAACTACACTATCATCTTCGCTGTTTCTTTCACTGCCTTGGATCGTCCTCAAGGCTCTCCCTCCAAGACAATTGCAATTCATGAACAACTTCAGAAGGGGATGCTTATACGATGCCCTCTGTCTTGAGCATCGCCTTGAACACGAAGAACACTGCTGATCTCTATATGTCGTTGATCGTGAAATTGAACCACGAGGATATTAAGCCGCTGACCTCGATTTGGCAGCCAGCTGAGCTGGGAGGGATGATCGATGATCGTTCACTCCCGCGCATCTTTGAAGCGATTCTTAAGCGCCTTATTTACATCCTTCCACAGACAAACGTCTGGTGTACGCTGATGCACGTCAGCTTTAATTGGATTGGGATGACCTCACACTTTCTGCCACAATGGGTGGAACAAGGTGGAAGTTCCGTGGAACAGTGCCATATCACTTAAGTAGCTATGAGAGATAATGCCTCGTGCACAGCACGGCAGATGGATTAGAGTAAGTATTGACGTAGACGGGCCAAGCTGTGCTAAAATGCTGAATACCATCTGCGATACTTGCAATCCCGCACGTCGACGGGGCACGCTACTGACGATAAAGCACGAACACGGTATTTAGATTTCTACCGCTACAACGATAATCTACAAGAACGCTACAAATAGCAAAACTTTAAACACGTAGACCAGTATATCATGGTAGTCGATGGGAAGAAAAATAGGTCAGACTGTCAGCCTAATGAATTGTATGTAGGGGATAGAAGTATGCTTACTTGTGACATTTAATACGTAAACTATAGGTTGGTATGTCACTCGCTAGAGATTTCGGGCTCACGCTGCCCATTAAGTGTTAGTAAAGACCTACTACAGGATTTCTTCAAGCCGTTACTTACGCGCCAGTCAGGTCCGCTGGGCCCTCCGCCGCCGCCAAAGTTGCGCTGATGAGAGTTTAAGTCATGGTGCATAGGAACTCCTTCCTCGAGGAATTACTTACGCGCCAGTCAGGTCCGCTGGGCCCTCCGCCGCCGCCAAAGTTGCGCTGCAGATTGGGGAATGAGGCAATGTCGCGTGTGAGTTGGTATTATATAAGTATTCATACCTCTTCCACGTCAGGCGCCGCGGTCTGTTCAAAGTCAGTAGGGCAAAGATTTGAAAGACGCCATTTAACTCACGGGAGCTGCGGAGGCCATGCCCAGGATGGCGACAACAGACAGGAGGGAGAATAGCTGGAAGCGCATTGTGTCTTACTGAGTAGTGCTCAGAGAGAGACTCAATGAAGTCAAGGGAAAATCAAAGGGGCTTTTATACTCGAGACGAAAGCCGAAATCGGGGTAGAAAGTGGGTCATGGGCCAGGTTTGGGTCAGGTTTGGGTCAGGTACACAGAGTATCAATGTTAGCATTAGGTTGTTTCATGCGATCTCATGCTTGTCGATATCGAACCACACGCGGAGGCACCCGCGAGCGTTCGTAAGACAACGCTCCACACGCATACGTTCTGCACGATAACTGGCCCTTCCAAGGAAAAAGTTCTGGCAGAACGGCTAGTCTGATCCGCCGCTGATTTCTGCTCCCTGTTCGGAGATTCATAAGAGAGAAAAGAGCGACGATCATTAAATTTAACTCACTTCTTTCGCACCCGACGGCTACGACGATACGTACACATCTAAATACGCGCTGGCTCTCGGGTATCGGGCACCCGGTAACGGTCTTCTTGAGACTTGAATCTCTAGCCAGACTCTTAGTATTAATGCCAAAATACTGAAATCTTAGACCAAATTTCGGGGGGATGGTGCCGGTGGAAACGTGCGTTGTGAATTGAACCCGACCTGACTCACCACAACATTGGGAATTGCACATGAGGTGCATGCGGACGCTTTAGTGTGCTTGGAGAACCACCTTTCCAGAAACCACTACTCTGGATCACCACCATATCGCGGCGCCGAACGCCTTTGTTCATCTGATACGGCCGCCGCACGGCAGTAAGTCTGAGTTAAGCAGAATCAAATTGGATCCCTTGCCGTATACCGAATATCAACTTTCCAGATTTGTCGTTCCGGATCATACTCAAACATTGATTCGGCATGACGCGACATTTGCGTCCTCCATGATCAATTCCAAACGCAGGCAACCTCGTACACCCCTTCCAGATGGTCTCAACGCGGCTTGGAACATGTATCTCACTTCCCTGATTGAGCTCAAAGAGGACGGACAGAGGGGATGGAAACACGCGATGCGTGCCTGCTGTGCATCGGCACCTGGCCATGGCACTATGTATGGCACTATGGAAACAGGGTTGACTCGGACTGATATGCCCGTTTAGCGCTCGGTCAACCACAAACACATCAACCGGCATGTCGTTCTGAGCTGTATTTCATGGAGACCTGTTTCCATGTGGCATATCAGCATAAGTCAAGCAGGTAGAATTAAGTTTAGATAGGATTACAACCTTAGAGGAGTCCGGTTGTTCGTCTAGAAGACTAGATCTAAAGAGTCCTTGCTCTTATACTAAGTTCAAGCCTGACTTGGCAAGGGACGTGCCGCGAGAGCTCAGGCTCATGTGTACAAGCGCGCTCTAGCCAGATGACACTCTCTCCGACTTCATCTGTAAACCCTTGTAAAGCCGGATCCTTGGTGACATGACAAATTCAGGCAGGTAGAGAATTGGCTTGGTTACTCAATCATCACAAGCACTGGTGATCGCAGATTCTCAACATATTATAGAATTATCAATCTCAGCAAACTTGTAATAATACATGCATGATGGGCATATGGACTTAAACCTCACACTGCAAGCGAAACAAACGTATAATAAGCAGAGTGCATACCATCGAATGTGCCAATCAGGAAGGGGTGAACCTTGCAATATGCTTCAAGTTGAGTACGAGCATACTTCTATTCTGTCGAAGTATGTGGTGGAAATTGTCCACAAACTGTAGCATCATGTCACGAAGTTAACTGGAGCTCCAAAGCGGCACGCAAAGAGCCAATCTACGAACTCAAAATATCAAAACCCATACCAGGTATGACTGACATAGACAATACCTGTGTCAACTTAGATCTGTTTGTTCCTGGGACCTGATTCCCGTGAACGTAAATAAGGGGTGGTGAAGGGGTGGTGAAAAGGCTCAACTTGTTCCGATATCGGATTGTTTCAAGTTGTGGCTGGAGATACCTTTATCTATACGTACCGGCTTATGGTTCGGATCTAAACAAGTGACGTCACGACACGAGCGAGCCACACTCCGACTCCACTGACTCCACGGCTGCGCCGCTGCGGACCACAGTCACGTACAGGCCCTAGCTAGAGCATAAAGGGGATCCATAAGTATACCGACCAAATTAACATCTACATATCCCTCGTCAAATATTCTCAAACATCCCTCGTCCTCGTTGATCGCCAGCCAAATCCTGATATACACAATGTCTCCAAAGAACAACGAGCCCACCTTCAACATTCTGCCTCACCCAGCTGTGGGTTAAGCATTGTATGCGCTATATGTTTCATGTATCTAAACATCATGATTCCACAGAAGACGAATGATCCAAGGGACCTGGAAGGTCCGCAGTTGGGTGGTGGATTGAACAGCAATCCCGAGTTCCAGGCGTTCCATGCTCACGAACCATACGTTCCCAGCAAAGATCTGCTGGAGGGTGTTGGGCAGCCTTTGGTGAGACATCACGCCGTTCATAACTTCTCTTTGCATATTGACCTCATCGCTAGAGTCGAGAGGAGTTAAACGCTAGGGCTACGGAGTTGAACAAGCAAGATTGAAGGGGTAGCGGTAGGCTTTGGCTGTTCAGGAGCGTCCACTGGTGTATCTTCAGTAGCAGCATATCGTGTCAGTTTGAGAGGGGTCACAAAACGGCATCAACTTATCCTCCTGATAAAATCTAGTTGATACTCATTTGCTAAACTCGGCTGGTCATTGTCTCGTCTAATATTGACATCGCACAGTTGAAATTTCGGATTCGGCAGATCATAACACCATACAGATGTGGACATGCAACCTTTACCGGAGCATTGCAATTCGAAAACCCGTTTCACCATGATCACTCTTGAGCTCCTCGATATACTCACCACTTAGACTTGTTATCGTGAATGAAGTTCCCGGATCGCGAACAATACTTCCGCCATCCATAACATCAAAAATGCATTCCAAAACGGTGCAGCGACATTACCAACAGTCACCTTGTATCGACATCGTTCTCAGACTTTGATTACTGCCCTCTCAACGCATCATACCCTTGCAATTGAACAAACGACATTGTAGGAGAAGAGGCGAGCCTGAAATCATAACTTGATTAATAAAAGGCTATAGAGCAATGCTCTGATCGCAACACTTACCTCCTAGTATGGCTTGTCTGAACGGATCTGAGTGTGGCTCTTCTTGCCCCATTTCCTTGCGCCCATTACGAAAGCTCCCAGCAATATAAGAGACGTCATAAACATCAATGACACCATCGCAGTCGAGCTTGAGACCAAAGATTCACTTCCCACAGCTGTAACGAGCTGCTCATTCCCGACGGAGCTCAAGAGGTCACGGCTGACGAGGCTGGAGGTTTCATTCATGCACTGAGCAGCAGCGATCGCAACCGCACATCCACGCTCGATGTCTTGATTGCATTCATAACACCACTCAAGCGTCGTGTTAACCGCAGCCGGTGCGAGAGCGGCGGTGAATATTGACACGGGAACGTCGCCTCCGGTGGTTCCATCCCAGCCGTCGAAGACGAGTGGGTATGGCCTAAGCTCGGGATCGTTGGTACCGTTTTTGAATTGGAACCTAATGACGGGCTCCGCCGTCGGAGAGGTTTGCCGGATTTCGAAAACAGCCGCGGACGCATAGTCGACTTACGAAGCCCATGTCAATAGCGAGAGCATGAAGCAAGGGGAGGAAGCCGTACCGAGTGCAGCTGGGAGAGACCCAGAGCTTACCAGGCCAGTCATATTGAACATACTGAGGAAAGGCTTGTAGTTGATCGCATAGTAGCTCAGCTTGAGCGGATCGGAGGAGTTCGTGATGCTCTCAATAGATTCCAAGATACCCGGGATCATCGTCTGGAACGCAACTAGAGACAATATGCAACTGAGTCAGTTCTGTTTTCAGATTATGATCACGAAAAACGCACTGTTGCCAACTCCGGAGAAGTATGGATCGGTAAATACGTTGTATTCGTGCCAATTGGCCAAATCGCGCGCTTGGGCGAGGAAAGTCGGAGGGAGCTCCTCTAAATATGTCGCATTATGAATCGATTGCACATTCATGTAGTCAAAAATCTGCAGAAGAGCTCAGCGACAGAAAATTACAGATCATGAGACGGCCTACATTCCACTTGAGGTGATAGGCCACGACTAGGTAAGTCAAACAATTTTGGCAGATGCATTAATGACACACCATGTTCTCTAGAGAGGTGGATCGATTGCCGACGTAGGGACCAAGCTGAGAGAGGAATGGCTCTGCCTCCTCAGCCTTTTCCATGAAGGCAGTAGAATTATAAAATGCTGTTGTACGGTCTTGGAGAGACTGAAAACAAAGTAACTTTAACATGGGACCCCACACAATCTCACATACCACGTACGATACAGTCGGTGAAGCCCTCCAAAGACACATCCAAGTCCGGCAAGACGGAGGTAACTGGGAAGATGTGGTGAGTACGTCACATCTCATAGAGAAACTAGGGGTAAGCTTACTGGGTACATACTGATACCCGCCTAGAGGACTGGTGATGGTGGTACCATTGGCGAGGGTAATATTCTGTAGGGGAGTGGGATGCCAAAGCCCTTGCACTAGAGCCGCACAGCTATCCATGATCACACTATCTATCCCACTGTCGTCGGCGGCGATCGAAACTTGTTCAACATTGAAGATCGAGGAGGAGGGAGATATGCCTTGAATGTACGAAGGCGACGACGAGTCTAGGTATACCGAACGCAGATAGTTACCAAGCTGCCATTCTTGTTGCTAATATTCATCCAAGGCGTTAGATTGAGCTTCATTCGTGAAATGTCACCTTGCTTACCTCGCCGAGAGGAGTGATCTCTGTGAATGTCACTGTATAGGTAGTAGGATCTTGGTAGAACTCCAAGCGATCACCATGCCTAGCCAGGAGCACGATTCCAATAACAGTGCTTTCGTCGCTACTCATTGTGTACGCTCGATATAGCTTCGTGAATGTAGGAGAATGTGAGTCAACTGAATGTAGAGCAAGACACAAGGACATTCGAGAGAAAGTGACCCGTACTTATAATGTCGCCAATGTGACCGGCCACTCCTAGTCCGAACTGGATCTTTGTCCTTCATGGAGTAATCACACTCCATGACAGCTGTCTAGAAGATTTCAGACGCAGCAGACTCGCGCCGGAATGTTAAACAGCCGCCAGGACCTGCGGAGGTGAACACACGACCTGAATGATATATCCACAGGCACGAACGACATCCCCGGAAGCTATATCTCCTTTTGTTGAATAGTAGGCAGGTTTGAAAGTGCGAGTACTGCTATATTTGACGCACCCTCATAATGAGCAACTGAAGCTGCACATCGCCGGCCCTCCTCCGAAAGGCGCGCTCAAGAGGGGGTGGGCCATCTGTCAAACACACAAGTCAGCGCCGAGCAGTAGGTTCTCCCACCCTAAAAGACGCGGTCAATGACTTGCATTTCTCCGGCCTTTCTGAGCATCTCTCAATTTCAATGAGCGTGCCACATCTCCATTCAATGTCAAATAGCGCGCAGTCGTTCCGTTGATCGCCCACCTCTGTGGTCCTGATACTTGATCATACGGTCGCCAGTTTGAATTATGCTGAACTTCAGCCAATGCATTGAATCAAAGTCCTCTCGTAATTTCCACCTACCGATAATGTGTATATGACATATAGGAACGTTGTTGACCGTTCAAACAATGGTCTGAATTATTACACGCGTAGAACGGAATGACATTGAGTCCGAATCTGGGCGCCTCGTCATGAAAGTCAATGGACTGTTGTGTAACAAATCTGGCACCCGTCAGGAGTACCTGTCGGAGGCTTTAGAAGCATGCTCACTTAGGTACTCGCAGGGCTTCCGAGGTGTCGGATCGTGGTGAAGGCCAGGTGACAACTAATGTCGACCTCTGATTCAGCCATTTATTCTGGTCACAACAGCAGTAGAGACATCAAAATTCCCAAAACCCTTCCCTGTGTGAAGTTCCACCAAGGCTCTGGATGGCTAGTCTCTAGATGATATTGAGAATTGCTGATTCGGGCAAACGACCGCGGGATGATAGGCGCTGCAGCCGGATTCAATCCTGTCTAATGCGGCGCTTGTCGTGTGACTGCGGCAACGACGGCAAGAACGATATACAGCTTGGCATACGAGATCAATCAGCGCTGTATATGCGAGTGAGACATATAGCTTGAAAACCCAGAACTCACCTATCCAAGTCCAACATCGTTCTTGAGTTCTTCGAACAGCTTGGTCATCCAATTGACCCAAAGGCCACACTCGCGCTGGGACGTTCATATCCGCCAGACAAAGGACAGAGCGTAACGAGGTAACCAGCTGGAAAAATGTAGCAAGATCATTACAAAAATGTGAAATAACACCGTACCTGAACCTCAGGCACAGCGTACACGTTTATGGATCCAATGGAAGCTAACCCGGGTCCGACCGTCAGTTCCTGGCAAATTTATCTCCGAGATCGACGAGAGAATTTGTGTATGACATTGACAATGCGCTTTGAAAGCACTCTACACAGCATGAAATACCAAATACGTTATTGCAGTAGCTGCACGGCCGCCGTAGATAAGCTGTACAACATTGTACCGTGTCTGGCTCATGTACCTGAACCATGTGTAACCTACGTCCTTGGACATCAATGATTTAAATTTGTGGGGTTCAAGCGACGACACTAGCGACGACACTACTTACACCATTCGGCGTCCCTGCAGATCATAAGGTGTAAGTTATCTTTCAACTCGGTAAAACCTTTGCATAGCGTACCGCAATCACATTGATACTAGCCCCAATCCAACGAGTCGACTCCGAATAGGTGAGGCAGGTTCAGCTCCAAACTCGCGTCGATAGAGGGTACCAGGTTCAACGGGAGCCCGAAGGTTTTCCCGTACCTTGAGTAGCCTCGGAGTAGCCTCAGTTGCTGGATGGTCAGTTCGACAATAACGTGCGAACACGGTCACTCTGAGGACAGTCTCACAGACGGTCGCATAGTTTGGCCTTTCTCGTGATGAGGTGAACGCTATTACCTTGAGGAAGCTGTGCACTGCGCTGGCTCAGGAACCCAAATGATTATATATTTCAAGCAGAAGTAAATACCTAAGGATACATATAAGGTCGCATCCGAATAGCCACTAACCATCGACCGCTGCAACGCCAGTACACCTACACATCGCGAATAGGTTTTCGAACGTGTCTTGTAGCCAGATCAGATGACCTGGGCGTGAAAGCAGGAGCAAGGATAGTGGAAATGCCCGAGATACCATGGTTCCATGGTATCGCGAGCAATACCGACGCCCTCAAGTCTGCCGTCCACATCTCTCGATGTAGCTGCCGCACAATTATGAAAGGTCAATTACTTGACGACGAGATCGAATGCGAAGCTTCAGGGAGATCCAAGTTCATCTTGACGTGGTTTAGTGACGAAGATCGGCTTCTGCTACAGCGGCAGAACATACTGTAGTGGATTCATCGATACAGACTTGTAGTCGAACCATCGCTTTAACACCCTCCGTGACCGTGAGTATAAACGCGCTTCACTTGGGTAAAACATGTCAACTGAAAATAGACGCAGGCATAGAGTAACTCCACGGAGACCTCATACATCTCAGCCATTGTGTGTTCGTTACTGGCACTCCGCTGTATTGTCCGAATGGAAGACACCGGTATAGGCTAAGAATTCAAGAACCTAGCTACAATTTCTATGTACTGCTCATTTTCGCTCCTCCCAGAAAGGCAGCATAGCGGCTCGCTCTTCACTACGCCAGCCCATCACGGTGAGTATTCACGTACGCGGACGAGGCAGATCTTACGAAAAGTACTAGTGGCATTATTCAGATGCAGCGCGAGACCTCGCACAACCTGAGGTTGACCTTCAATTGACCTCTGATTACGACCTACCCGGGCCAACTCACGCCATTCGCACAATATATATCTGCCGTCTGTCGCTGAATGAAACCCGCTCGCTGCAATAGTCTGAACAATAGCGCTTTTCTGTATCTAGTCTCAGAGTGAAACGACGAGACGGGAGAGGTACGGCCCAATGCATACGAAGATGGGATGAAAGAATACGTGACGCACTTTAAGTTGCTGATGGTCTACAGCTTCTCTGATATACTCTTCCCTGGTCTTATACTATGTTTAGATACGAGACCACGGATACCTTTCCCCTTTTCGCGCGCCTCAAGATTCTTGCTGGCACACGGGTTGATGTGTCTTTGCCCGTGAAGTATGTAGCTCCTACTAGGTGATATTCATTCGGAATGAGCCTGAACAACAGTAAGTGTGGAGCAGCTGTAATTCCATAAATTATATTTTGCTGGCATGGTAATGGTTGACCCAAATCTGCATAAGCTACGCGTTCTAGCTTGTTCGTACAAGTCCTAGATATGAAGACGCACCTAACAGCTTCGAGCGTAATGCACATATTCAGATAGCACTACCATGCGGCATTCCTCGCCATATACTCTCGATGGTTATCTTCTGCTATCACATATAACGCTGTCCAATCCTTGCACTCGTGCGTAACATCGTTGACCGTCACCCCTCTATGGTCAACGTACCTGACTGTTTCGAGGCGTAGCTCCGATCGACACAGAACCATTTGTCGAATATAGTTCATGCAATGGTGGTCGAGTGTACTCGGGGGCGGGGCTAACTCTCCAAGTCGATGTCGAGCTGCCAAGGATGTGCGGATGACACCGAGGCAGCGAAGTTGGTGGAACATAGAGATGCTGAATGGATGCAGGTCACCGCCCAGGTGTAACATACCACCCCCAGAGGGAAGAGTACTGTTCCACTCGCCATCGCCATCGTCTGTATCAAGCGCGAAGTGCACAGTGTTTTCGATCGACATATGCACTGTGTCGAGCGGGGGAATGTCCCAGTGCATGGGATAGTCATTTCCGCTGTATGCTGTGCGTAAGATGTACGGGTGCCAATCTTAATTGGAGAATGGAGTAAATACACTTACTATGTTTCCTCGCTATGCGTTTTCCGGTCAGTCCGCGATATATAGGAACGATAGTTAGCATGGTGATTAGGCTAGATATGACTGTGAGGTAGAGAAGCCTCAAGCTCTTGTCAGATCCCATACTGTAGCTGACAACCACCGTCTCAAGACGTTAGCGGGATAGTATCAAATTGTAACCGAGCATGCAACCTTATATACGCCCAAGTGATTCTTATTCATCATTCCATTCTTCCATCTATCAACGTATACAGCATATGCTCCCAAACATGCTTCCTTTCTCATAGGCGGTACACAGTGCTGTACACATTCGCTGAGTCTGAGTCTGTCTAAGGATTAATCGACTACACTTATATACACCACGATGTAATTAGCCTTTGACCAGGCCCGTCAACCAGCGATGTGAACAAGACTAGCTCGGGGGCCACCGCTGTCCATCAAGGCGCTGAGTGAACGACTGCGCTTGCCCTCATCTGGACCGTAAGCTCAAGATGGACATACTAGATCAAATTTCGCACCGCGCATAAAATGATGTTGATCGTGAATGCAACTGCATACTACAGGGAGAACCTGACGACTATGGATGCATGTTCCGCCCCGTCTTACGCGATTCAAGCAGGATGCGATATTGAGATCGGCCAGTACAGGAATCTGAACTTCTGTCCACATACCACCCAGAGGTTCTCACTCGACTCGATAACGATAATTACTTCTGAAGGTGGCAGACACCGTGAGTTGCCAATGCTGCCCAGCATTGTCGAAAGCCTGAGACGTGTGAAGTTGCTGCATGTACGCCCATGCCACATTGCAAGTTTAGAACGTACCGTAGAATATCGCCTCAGGACGGTCTCTCTGAGAAGCGACTGCGCTGTAGACACAGCACGTTAGAATTTGAGCGCGGAAACCACATAAAATTGGACAACACGAAGATCGTGGTACGCAGCCAACTAGGGCATGATTGTTTACGAAAAGCGAATTATAGGAGCATCTTGCGTTACAATGACCATACTCTATTGAAGCGGCAGTGCAAGTTTCGCCTAGCGATAAGCGAGTGTCAAAAATCAGCAAGCGGTAATGGACGGTACTGCTGACAAGGCTAAGGATCCAAGAACTCAGAGAGTTCTTGATGCTGCATGTACCACTCACTCCTCTGGAATGGCGTATCGGTCGAGTTCTTGCATGTGGGTCATCGAACTTCGAAATTTGCTCAAAGAATGGTTTGTACACAAAACCTTGAGTTATATTTCCTCTCCCGTTGATCGAGAGTGCCGAGATGCGCAATGTGCCATTTGTCGATAGCTACCCCTCCAGCTTTCCACTCCTGCTGTCCCTACATTTCATGTAATCAAAGTTCAATACCAGTAAATAATTGGAAATAATTACGTTTTTCGAGAAGGTTGTATAATCACCATTTGCATCGGTTTCAAAATCACACTACGATAGCATCTGTACCAGCTCCTGAGGTATTTGGTATAGAACACAGCCATAGGAACCATAATGTTGCTCAGTATTTTCGCCATCTACCGCTCGTCCCGCAGCGAGAGTGGCCTGCACATCCTCGGGCAGAGGTGACACATTATCGACTTGTTCCATAGCTTCACCGACGAGGAGCAGACGGCAGCTGCCAGTCTATGATGATGATGAATCGGTGAAAACCCGCAAGCTGACGCCAAAGTTCAATCTCAGAGATGAGCTGGCTGCCCCACGAGTGCCCTTGACTGTCAAAGCCGGCCTCGATGCCCAAGTGGTGGGCGAGCATCAGGAACTCGTCGATGCAGCCTTGAAGAGGTTGAATATCTAGAGCGAGTTGTCGAGGCACGTAAAAGTCTATAGATAGCAGTCACCACAAGTCGCAGGCGTTACAATAACTTGAAGTACGTGCGTAAATAAATCCTCTTCCATTGCAAAATCTGAACACCTACCGCCTGTCACGGTTGTCTATTGCTGAGAAAAACCTTGAGAGCTATCCAGACGGCAATGATCTAGCGTTGCTTACATGTGACGCCGACACTACAGCCTATACTTGCGTGATCCGCAGAGTGCGAAGCTTGAAGTTCAACTGAAGCCCGAAGACCAGGCGGAGCTTGGATGCATCGTCTGAGTATCTGAGTCAAAAGATGCGCGTCCTCGACAGGCGTGTCAGCGTCTATACAATAGCTATACGGTCGGCCCAGCCATTTTTTGTTAAGGGCAGGTCGATACGTGTAGAATGGGGAGCGCAAGGTCACTATCGGTAAATTTGTTCTTAGTAAAACTTGTAGCAAACACCACAAGCACCGCCAATGATACCGTCAGGATTCTACGAAAATAGTACTGTCAAGCTCAAGCCAATTGCAGGTCGTGTCTTCGCTACCATGATGAAAGTTCGTTGAGATTCCAATCGAACTTAAGTTGTACCGAACATGGGTGGATGGTCAAAGGTGGAGACCCGACTCTGGTCCCTCTACATAATTGTAGACCTCAAGCTCAAGGGCTGTTCCTGAGCTGGAATTCCAGGTCTGTCAATTCTCCGATATTTGTTGCCTCTCGGTAAAGTGCAATTTCACAGGTTTGTTGAGAAGGCTGACGTACCCTTATTTAGGAATGTTCTTTCGGATGAGGATGTTCGCAGTTCTTCTATCCTGTTCGTTGCACCTGAACGCCAGTGCATCACTGGTTTTGTGATAGTATCAAGCTCCTCACATATTCGAACATCTGATCAAGTTTACCAGCGCAGCCTAGTGATATTTTTCTCAAACAGCACGGCTTGATCAAAGAGACATCATCTTGGGTTCTGGTTCAACCTCGTGAGCAGCCACATTGTTGAGCCCGGGCGATTCACGCTACTAAGTCTCTTTCGGGTTCGTCTTTCATCTACACATCGCCTTGCTTCTCTGTCTGTTGGTGGCTGGCTGCCCGAAACAGACAGCGCCACACCTAATGCAAGGCTCGCCGATGAGGTCCGCGGGTTCCCCATAACAGCAAGATTATATTACTCAGCATTGCGGTCGTGGCCCTGAAGGTCAAAGTAGATATCAATACGAAATTCAAGAATATGGACGTATGTAAATCTATGTGCCATAATAGCTGCGACAAGCACTGGCCGAAGCTCCAGCGCATGTTCAGGATTTCTTGGCCATGTACTTGGCTGTGGCGCAGATACTGTTGATCTTGTGCAGCCGGAAGAACTCATTTGGTCTGAGAACGAGATTGGAGTGCAGGGTAGGTTCTCCTCACCGCATCGAATGACGAGTCCCGGATAGTAGACGAGCGAGCGAAGCTAGTGTTCACACTGCCGCTCCATCTTGGTGACCACGCGGATTCCCAAGGTAAATGAATCCGAATCAGCAAAGGACTACTCAATCTTATATCTTGCTCTAGCAGATCCTGAAGTGTGCGACCATCTAATATCATTCCGTCCTAAGGACTCCATGGCAGGGCTGCGTGCGTACTATCTGACCTGGTTCTTGAACCTATTCTATGAGACATGGATCTTGTTGCAAGAGATGCTCCTGTAGAGGACGTACGCAAATCTAGCAAACGGTACTGGCGGGAGTACTTATTGGACGACTCACATGACATGCACCGGAGACAGTTTTATAAATACGTCGTAGACGCTCACAAGGGTACGTTGCGTTCCACTACCCCACCACGCGTATTCAGTAGTGCTCTGCCAGAACGATGCGGGCCAGCTGGGAATATCCAGCTTCCTAGTAGATGACATGGTAGAAGATGCTTGCGGGGAGCTTGGGCACCTTGAAGAAGATGTTGACCAACATGTAGAAGACTGGTCAACTATTCCCCTTCGGTACGCGAGGATTATGCATTATTTCGACCATGTGCACGTTCCAGCAGACACAGAAGTGTCCATCGCGCACCCAATCCTTTATGAGATGATCTACTCCGCTCTTGCTTATTTCAAGGCATATCGTATCTTCGCCGTCTTCCTCTTACCAAAGCCCTTTGCCATATTTCCCGCAGCAAACAGCAAATCTAGGGTTGCTCACGCTCGAAGCAAAGAACATACTGATCTTCTGCAGACAAATCGCCGAAGTGCCATTTGCTTGCTCAAGTCGATTTCCCTTAGACTTGACCACCCTTGCGATTGACGAGCTGAGCGCATTGGATTTTGTGGCTCAATTTGGGCGACCAATATTTGTGCTCCCGATGCTTCTGGACGTGAAATCACTCATTTTGACATCTCATGAACAGATTTTGGCGATGCTGGAAGGCGTTCAAGACGAGAGCGCGAAATCACTCATCGTAGATAACATAATACCGTTTACACAAAGAAAGTTTTGGGGCGATTAAAGCACTGGTGATGTCGCCAACCTGACTTTCATCAAAGGTTGACATTCCCCGTCCCTTTATCGCATTGGCGACGGAGCCGGGGTTACCAGAGTCTGCAGATAAGAGATCCATCGTAGAGCGACATCGAAGAAGCTTTGGACTCAGATAGCGATGAGCTAGAGACTCCTCCGCCTGCGAAACGTTCTAGGTGCTCGTGGGGAAACACACCGCTCGCGGAACCTCGTGCATCAACAGTATGGTATCTTTGCGCATGGGTACTCCGAGGGCATCTATGGATGATATCCAGCGCCGCACCGCTTCTTTGTGACGACGATGCGCGGATAGAGCGGACCTGTCATAGAGGATCTAGTTCGACCGCTGGGAGGCAGATGATGAAGTCAGCGTGGACGTCTAGCGAAGACTGAATTGCCTCGACCGACCGACGGCTCAGCAAAGAAACACCCGAAATCGATGGCCAGGTTCTTGTCAGTGCTACCCTGGAGCCGGCAGCAAAGGGAAGTATCGATCTTTTCGGCCGAGCTTGGTACTTCGATATGCCCCGTTCACTTTATGCTTGTCTGTGCTCGTTATATCTTGCCATGCCGATGAGACTCACAGCTATCGCATTCAGGCTACTAGAACTTTAGTGCGCACAGTAAGATAAGCCCGAGAACATGGATTACATGTAAATCTTAATTCCAATGTACTCTGTGCTCATACAAATTAATGGCTCGCGCATAGCCAAGGTCTCTCGTTGGCAGCCCTTCAATAATAGTCGCCTTGAATTTGATGTGTGAGGTCGCCGCTGTATAGCGCATAGCCTGGATCCAGGAAACGGGATTTTAGCAGAGCTGCTAGGTAGTGCAAGTGCAATGTGAACTGTACGTATACCAGAACATGATCCGATGTCCACTCTGGTCTATATCCAATTATCGAGGCGGTTTCGTCCTGGGTTCGTTGAAGAGATACTGACTGAATGCATTCTTGCTCAGGTGATTCTTGTTCCGAAGTCTGGCTATTCTTCCTTCGGACGTTGCGACTGCACAATCAAAACACGAGAACAACTAGGACAGCCCGTGCCTATGTGATGATCTTGAGCGGAGATGGGACCACAGCTTGAAGCATGGCTGCCTCTAACGAGCTCAGAACGAATGTTCGGACGGAAGATTGCAACGGACGCAAGCTAGCATGCCGCGGCGCGAGACAGCGGGAGGCGGCGAGCCATGTGGATGATGACCAGACAAGTGGCAAGATCCGCTCAAGCTTGAGGGGAAAATTAATTTTGACCAGAGCTAAGTAAGTGGATAGCCTACAGCGTGGGATAAGTTAGCAGAGGGGAAACAATCCGGCCATTGCCGGATAGAAAGCGGGCGAGGTTGGTCGTCCACGCCGCTCCTCCTTGCTCCTCCTCTCTCAGTGATCTCCACCTCCATGGCCACCTCGCTCGACGCCCCCACTCGTGAGCTGTCCGCCCTGCCGTCTGACCTGCATTCTCATATTATCTTGTTTGCAGACCAGACTTCGTCCATCATGACAACCCTTTCTCCCTCGTCCCCGATCGAGTTGCGCCATATCACCTCCAACACCCACCTCGCCAGCCCCACCCGCGAGCGTAGGCTCTCCAAGCGAGCCTCACAACACCTCCGGACACACCGCATGGGCTCACGCTCGCCATCGTCAATACCGTCGTCACCCACATCAGTGTAAGCACCGCATTCTGGCCTCCTCGGTCCATCCTGACCACCCTCTAGCCACTCCTCCTCTTCTGCCATCTTTGAGCGCGATATTGAGCCCATCACACCAGCATCAGCATCGCTTTCCATCTCATCTGACCCGCATCGCATTCCGAGGGGCAAGATCTCCGAGCAGCTTGAGCACTCCGTTCCGTCCGTACTCGACAGTGCAGCAGCAATCCTCGCCGGTGCAGAGTCGCACGACGATGACTTTGACTCAATCTCTATCGTTTCCCCCGCTACGCTCGATGCGGGCTATCGCAGTGGCTTCACGAGTCCCATGTCCCGCCTGAGCAGCCGTAGCCCCTCCCCGACCGCCATGGGCAACAGGAAGAGCCTCCTGTTCGCCACAAGCCCCCTACAGAATACAAGCCCTCTCCAGAGCTCTCCTCCGATTCGCCCGACGATCCAGACAAGTAGCCCACCTCCCGTGGCTGTGCCTCTCTCAGCCACGCCGGCGACGCCAACGTCGGCTTATTATTCTGTACCTTCGACAGAGGCGGGCTCGGAGGCGTCTTCTCCGACTACGGCGACGCACCATGAGCACCCGATGCACAATCTGCCTCCGCAAGCAGCCATCATGATCCCGACGACAGTGATCTCACACCCGCCCTCTCCGAAGAACGCGACCAAGCGCCTCTCATTTCTCTCGTACATGGACCTTCTCACGTCGGCACCCGCGTCAACATTGCCACTATCTAGCTTTACGTCGTCGGCGGTCGTCTCTGAGCCGCCCCCACACCTTCAAAGTGTGATCGGCCTCCCGCAAGCGCACTATGCCGCGAGCTCCAGCGCGGGTAGCATCCATGGCGCTGCGGGCACGGTGCTTGAGCGTGAGATCGCGTCGGGGATGCTGGACGATGTCGGGGGCGAGTGGGAGCGCGAGGGACTCGGGCGTGGACTCGAGGAACGCCTCGAAGCGCTCAATGCCCTGCCTGTCGGGCCTGGGAAGGCCTGAGGTCTGACCGGTGACCAGCTATCCAAATGCAGATTATATGCGTCCCCAGTGCCATCCACATTATCTTCTTCAAGCGCGCATTCACGTTGTCCATGCGTGCTCGTATGCTCCCTACTTCTTTGGGGCCGCTCGGCCCTTTCTTCGACTTTCCTCGCGTGTGCGGTTTGGACGTCATTCAGCCTCTTTGACTTTTGCCTCGACCCGGAAACAGAATATTCTAGCGTTTAGCGTATGTCTTTTCTAATTTTACGTGATGACGTGACCTCCCTTCCCGAATCCCGATTCTCTATGTGGCTGTTTCCACTGACTTTTACGGTGATGCGAGGCGATTCGGTTCGTGCAGATACAGATACAGATAAACTCACCCCGTCCAGCTCATGCACGCGGGGTGTACCCATATAATCACCAAACGCCGTGCTTAAATACTACGCTTCGATGCTGCGTCGCTCGGTTATTTATGTGTAGTATATACCCCCCTTCCCGTATGCCTGTAATTTCTCGATTCACCGTGATTGACTATGAGCGTGTATGTGTGTCCCTTGTGATTTGGTGCTACTTACTGCGGGTGTCCAAATTGACTACATTTTTTTGTACTTTGTCTGCTGCAATTTGTTTAAATGCGTCCAGCATGTTTGCACTGGCATCATCTGTATTAGTGGCTATTGGCCAGAAGGCTCAGGTACAGTGTTCAGTGTTGGGTTGTCTCAGAGATCTATTTGAGATCATACTATTATGCACATACACACACAGAGGATCAGGATATTATGCATACAGAGACCAGCAACATCCTTGCAAAAGATTGATTGATGTGATGATGCCTTTGGAACATAAGACCAATATCATTGCACCCAGATCTCGGACCTGAACAGAATTTTGCTACTCATCCATCTCAGTGCCCATCCAGATGGCTTGAATTTGATCTACGCAACGACAAGGCACAACAGATTCGGCGCGTACAAATCGTCTTCGTGCCCTGTATCTGTTGGGATGTGACACGCTGACGGCATCCCCGCACAGGTCAGGGCCACAGGGATCGTTGTCGCGTCAGCTGTATCTGTTGATATTTGCGCTTTGACGGTAGCCTTGCACAGGTCGGGGCCAGCGACAATCGTGCATGCGTTTGCTACTTGCTACTATACTCGCCGACACTAGCCACGTTCGTCAGTATGCAGGATTCAATATTCACCGCCGAGTCTGGCCCTCGACACAACGACGAGGTGCGATCGCGACCCCCGTGTCATCGGCTGCGTGTTTCGTTGGGTCATCATTATCAAGCACTTGCGTGCGCCAAGGCTGCCACCGTGCCGCTCGGAGAAGTCCAGGATCTGGTGGACGGGTTCGTCAGCGCATATATGCATGAAAGCTAGAGGGGAATATACATGCGCAAGAGCGCGCACACGGTGGATACAGTGTGTCGTGCAACCAAAACGCGCGATGCGCCCGGGAGAGGGCAGCTCGTGTGGGATGGAGATGCGCCGTGCGGTCACAGAGGTGGCATATATTGAAATGCTAGTAAGCACATGCCGTGACCGCGAGAGCGGGTATAATCGCCCTGCGTGGGTCGAGTGACGCTGCATTCATCCCCGCCCGTGTCCTGGGAATGGTTCAATCTACGACGGGACCGTAGGTCTTCACCTGAACGTCGTCGTATTTGCGATGGCACGCATTCTCCAAGATGGATGTCATCCCCGCGCGCGCGTGTGTGTGTGTGGCCAGCGCCCAGCGGAGACCGAGTCGGCGGCACAAAAAATCTCTCTCCGGAGTAGACGCATGCCATTGCCATGGATATGGCCGGACATAGCGTGAAGTTACATTCTAAGCGTCGCCCCTGCCAGAGAGTATCTGAAGTAGGAGCAAACTTCACGGACAAGAGATTGAAGAGGAGACTAACGGTGAGAGGTGGGCTCGCACAGCTGAATGGATAACGCCAGCAAAATAGCCTGCAGAACAAGACACCAAATTGCGAGTGCACTTCTCCCACCGGGGGTATCTGACGATTGTTCCAGGCCAAGCCAGGTTTACCATGTCAATTTCTTGTATATATATAAGTTACTTGCAATACTTGCGGCGGACCAGGAACAACAGAAAAGAGGCTCGCCAACAAATACTGCAGCATCCATGATCTAGATATTCTGTTATGACTGTGTGATATGTTCATCGTGGTCCCAGAGACAGTGTGTATCCAGTCCCCAGGACCACAACAAGCACATCGGATATTTGTAACAGAACACACACCGAAGGGAATTACGGGCCATCTGCAAGTGGCATTGGCGAGCCGGGATACGTACCTCAGCCGATAAGTGCGGCCATTTGTCCGACCTGCGCTTTTGGACCAGTTTGAACCTCGACCCTGTACAAAAGGCGCCATTCGAGTCACTTTGCCTGATATGTGCATTGCGGAACTGTCGGGGGCCCGGGTAAAGAAAATGTTCGACGTGCCAGACGTGAGTCGGCATAGCAGCGCACCCTGCGCACGACGCCCTGCGGTCGTTTATGGCCGCCACGGGCCGCGTAGAGTCATGTCAGCGCGGTTGCGCTGGACAAGACATTGTTCGCATGGTCTATGGTCCGGCGGGCTCCCGCCGAGCTCTGTCCTCTGGGTTGGGCTGTGCGCGTGAGTGCGCGAAACATATGATGATCTGCAATGGAGAAATATCATATCCCTGGTGATGTTGGGCTGATGAGACGGCTGAGGCCCAGTATTGCTGCTGCTTATCCGACCGACCATCACATCGTCGTCAAGCATAGATCGTCAGATTGACTGTGTGTTGTGGCCTGCTAGCAAGGAGTCAGTGGCTTGGATCAAGTTGAATGAGAGGTAAGACGAGGCCCATCATGGCTTGCTAATACCCGATCAATCAGCTGCATTGATCAAGAGGTGGGGGGGGGCGTATGGTTTTCACGATGCTGAGATGGCTGTGCAAGCAATGATCTAGCGGCAGTGGCCACTAGATTGCTCAACTGTGGGTGATAGAGATCGGGGACATTGCGGAAGCAGATTAGCAGCCTCAAGGACCGATTGTCATCCTGCCAGGCCCTCGGGTGAAAGGAGGGTGTTTTATTCTTTCAGTCATGTTCACAGAGCGAGACCGTCGCTCCGGGAAAGTCTACGATACCCGGAGATTTACAAAGCTTTAGCTTGGCAGGTTGTGATAGATAGAAAAAGCGGGCGATGCGCGGGTGAGCGGAGACGAGAAGCCGGAGAGACAGACGCTAGCGCGAGGAAAAGAAGACGC